GCTGTAGCTCAAGTGGTAGAGCGCTCGCCTTGAGCTGAAGAGCTGAGGGACAGCGCCCAGGCCCAGAGTTCAAGACCCACGGCCGACCAAAAAAAAAAGCGGGAAGTGGTGCTGCGGCTCAAGTGGGTAGAGTGCTAGCCTTGAGCCAAAGCAGCTCAGGGACAGCACCCAGGTCCTGAGTTCAAGCCCCAGGACTGGCAAAGAAAATGAAGAGACACAAATGAAAGCAGGCAGGGGGGAGAGCACAGGAAATGGGGCAGAGGCTGCTGAGCCACAGCGAGAAGAGAAACGGGAAGGGAGTGTGGAGGAGGGGGCCGCTGGGGGAGAACCTTCCCCTTCCGGGCCTCCGTCATGGTGGGGGGGGGCGGGCTCCGGGACACACCCTCTTGATCCCCAAGCCTTGCAGTTTCTCCTGCAGTGTGCCCTCCAGCACGGGCCGGAACTGCTGCAGCAACGCGGGGTTGTGCCTCAGGGCTTCCAGGACCTTCCGCGGGTCATCCCGGGTCTCGTCCAGCTCTGTAGCGCAAGACACGAGTCCGGGTCGGCCTGTGCTCGTTACCTGGCTGCGCCCAGCCCTCGAGAGTCCGGCTGTCCGTTGAGGACAGACCAACGCAACCACAGCGAGGGAAAAGGGGAGCGGGTGGGGGGGGAGGACGGGGGGGGACTGCCTACCTTCCTCAGACGAGTCCTCCTCCCCGTCCACGGCCTTTGGGGGCTCCTGTACCCCTAGAAAGAGCAGGAAGGGCGAGGGTCTTGTAAGACTCCCCTGGAGACCCTGCCTGGCTTACAGCAGGAGCCAGCCGCGTCCTCTGATCGCCACGATCAGGGAGGGATGAAGGAAGGGCTGGAGGAATAAGCTCACCATCAGGCACCTTGGCTCAAGCCTATAATTGTAGCCACTGGGGAGGCAGGAACAGGAGGATGGTAGTTCAAGGCCAACGCCGGGCAGAAAAGCTCACCAGGATGCCACCTTGCTCAAGGGCCCCCTGCGCAGGGCACGGGCGAGCCTCCCTGGTCACTCGGCTTCTTCCAGGGGAAGCCCAGATGGCTGGGCTAAGAGGTGCACGCTTGCTCATGGCGCCGCGCCCCTGAAACCACGCCTCCAGTCCAGCATTTCGCCGGTGCCTTGGAGAGTGAGTCTAGCGCATGATTTTGTTTGGTTTTGAGTTTGTTTTTTTTTTTCCTGCCTGGGTTGGCTTCAAGACCTCCAAGGACTCGGGGGGGGGGGGGGAAGCCTACATTTGGAGGATCACAGGGCCCTGGGTGGAAAGGGAGAGCCTCGCTCAAAACTACATAAATAAGCCGGGCGCCCGGGGCTCGCGCCTGTCATCCTAGCGACTCAGGAGGCTGAGATCTGAGGATCACGGTTCAAAGCCAGCCCAGGCAGAAAAATCCATGAGATTTTTATCTCCATTGAACCACTAGAGAACTGGAAGTGGCGCTGTGGCTCAAGTGGTAGAGCGCTGGCCTTGAGCTGAAGAGCTGAGGGACAGCGCCCAGGCCCAGAGTTCAAGACCCATGACCGACAAAAAAAATAATAAAACAACCATAGCAAAACAGGGCTGGAGGCATGGCTCCGGCGGCAGAGCGCCTGCTTGGTAAGCACAACAGCCCAAGTGAAATAAATAGCAAGGAGGCCCCCGTGTGAACCCCGCCGACCCCTCCCACGGCCCCGCACCCCACTACCATCCCAGCCAGGGACCTCCGGACCTTGGCTGGGGGACAGCAGGGAGAAGACCTAAGTCACGTGTGCACACACACACACACACTCACCTTCCACCTTCCTGGCCGACAAGGTCTGGATCTGCAAGAGAACGGAGCGGGGATTACAGGCAGCGGCCACGGGGCTGGGAGACTCTGCTGCTCTGGGGTCTGCCCAGCAC